AGGCCCAGGCAAGTTCTGCAGTCACTTTTGGCCGTTCCCTCAATAAACAAACATCAGCAAGGGGTTACTCAGCTTTCCTCTCATAGCTTCTGTAACTATTTGTGTAGAGCTCAAATTGTAATTCATGCTCTCCAGTACTTGCTAGGAAATACCTTCACATATTCAATTATAGTATAATTATTTGGCCTTTATATGGACCTCTGAAGAGGTAACATATTGCATCCCCACATTTTTTCTGTTGTAATCAGCAGCAGCATTTCAGATGGTTCTTCCTGAAAAATCATGTACAAAATTTTCCTTACCTTGACTCCTGCAAGCAATTTGTGTCTCACACTGAAAAATAAAACATGTCCTGGAGATAACTTATGTTACTTAAGACGGGGCATACACCCCCACCCACACCTACCATTAGTAAGTGTCTCAACTAATGTTATCCTCTCATTCTTTTCACATAATGACAGGAACTAAAGGAGAGCAATACTAGGTAACTAAGGAAAGTATAGACAGAAAATCATATTTTCATTCTAATTATTTTATTTTCATATATAGCCCTCTATGAAAAACCTGAATTTTAACTGCTTGAGCTCTTTACTGCGTGTGTATTAACTTCATAAAAATACCAGTTTAGTTCTTTTGCATTAGATATAATGATCTTTAATTCTCACAGTGTAACTTACAAATATTCATTTTTTGTGAAATGCTTTTTAAGTATGGAAGCAGATCCTATTAAGATTACCCTACTTGGTGAAACAAGATGTTTTAGCAATTTCAATCTGTCTTCTGTGTGCAGTAATACTGATACTGAAAGCACAAGTGAAAATTCATGTCTTGGTCCTCACAGAAGATTTATGTTTTTCAAAAATTCACAGTCTCCTAAATTGGCATGAATAGAATTTATATGTCCTTCATTAGAGGAATGATTAGAGAATAGTCCCATATGCTTTCCTATTCACAGCAGACATCAGTGTAAAGAATCTTTTCAAATTACTCCTCAGGAATTTAAATGATACTTTTTTTTCTTAGCAGATAGACCCAGGTCTATTAAAAGTACTAGGTTCATAAAGTGTGAACTTCTGTGAAATTAGTCTTCCAATTTTCCTTTGAAATTGTCTCTGGAGCAAAATAAATTTCCTGGTGAAGTTACCAGAGAGAATTACAGAAATGACCAAATAATGAGATCAGTGAGAATATACTTTCTGTTTGCATCAGTAATAAATTATCATAATAAAAATAAAAATAAAAAATTCTGATCACGTTTTCTTACAGCCTGAATTTTTACTGCTAAATGCTGTCTCCTCTTCCACAGAAGTAAGCAGTTCGATAGCAGTTTGAAAGCAAAAAAAAAAAAATTAAAAAAAAAAAAATGAGGCTGATTCCATGTCAAACTCAAGACCAAAGCAGTATGATTATTGCAGTAGCAGTAACAGGCCAAAAACGGGGTTAAAATGTTTCAGCTTGCCAACCTAACTTAATTTAGTAAGGATGTGAAGGAATATTTGTATATATCATCAACATTTGGAAATGTTGATGATATATACAAATGTTGCTGATGGCAATAGCACATTCTTACAAGGGAGGAAGGCACTGGTTTCCCCACAACATGCAGTAGAAACGAGCCAAAGAGGAAAATACTCTCAAAACATGTTAAAGGGTCACAGTGAAAATCATGACCTGCGGAGTAGATCTATGGTCTGGTAACACATCCAGATCAGAAGACTTTAAGGCTTTAAGACTTAATTGAATGGTATCTGGATGCATCTTGTCTGTTTTTTTCTGCATAGCTGGGGCATTTTTGCATAAGTACAGCAGCAGCAGTACCATCCATCAGAAGAGCAGTATTTGGACAGGTGGGGAATGCCCTTTGGTTCTTTCAGGCTGGAGCAGGTTACCATGATCACATGTTCTGTTATTTCAGGAATCAAGTCACTTTTTACTGTACTATTGATTTGCGCAATTTTATACTACTCTATTTGTGGACTTCTCAGAGGGATCATCATAAACCTAAATCCGTCAGTGTGATGGTTTTTCTTTATCCTAGTGAGAACTCTGTCTTGAAGAACTAGGTCAAGTCTCTGCAGTGGGAATTGCCTACCGATTTGCTTGTAAAAAATAAAAATTCTACTGTTGATCTTTTTTCAGTGGAACTATACCAACTGTAGCCAAATAGTGTATATTATAGCCGAGTATTTTTAAAGTAGCAAGTTTTATGATTATAAAACCACATATTCAAATGGCAAAAAATGACCTGTTCCTATGTTACCACGTGTTGCTTCTACATACCTAATCAAGCTTTTATCTGTGTCTTTGCTTGACTTGTCTCATGCACTTTCTCCCTGTCTAGAAACATTTATACAGGAAAAAATGAGGTAATTTATATGCTGGAATTTGCAAGGCACAAAATTGGATGAGAATAGTTTATGTATAAAATACAGAAAACAGTCTGTAAAGGTGTATAATTTTTTCTTGTGTGCGCATGCTTTAATTATACCTTTCTTCTTATTGTTAGCATCTATATACCATCTCTAATTTGTGTAGAGAAGGAAAGTCTTTTATGCTCAGAATCTATTTCAGCAGCGCAACTTAAGAGTGCATAAGGCGTCTGTCTAGCCTGCTTCAAAAACAATCAGCTACATTTTGAAGCAACTTTCAGAAGACTAAAAATACACTGACTTGTAAAATGTTGTTTTAAACATGCTTTTAGCATCAGACATAAGCTTCCAGAGGAAGTAATACAAATAACAACTTTAAATAATTTCAGTCTTCCACTTCAGCTGTTCTATTTTGTGTTGGTTTTTAATTCACCAAGAGGTCACAGTAAACATTTTGCTTTTGTTCACGATGTGTTCTTAGGTTAGGCAGTTATTCTGAGCTAGTAAATTCACAAACCAAGTCTCAACCATGTCTCTGTAGATATTTGTCTTGATGTAACAAGCATTTTAACATGTTTTTGTACCTGCACAGTCACATAGCAGGATTCTGGTCCTGTAATAAGCAGCTTCTGGCAGTTACGTGCCAACACTTTAAACCGATACCTTATGAAACTTAAAATAGCTTAACTGTCTGAATTGTGAGTTGCTATTTCTACCATCTAAAGTTTAATAATTCTCAATTGTTTTTATCTGTCTGGAAATATTATGTATTAAAAAATATTTGTAGGAATTAACACCTTTGATGAGATGCAAGTTCTTCTAAAAGCTCAGTTTTTCTACTGTAACATTTTTTAAATATGTTGTTTTTTTTCTCTTCCCTTGACTAAATCTTAATCTGTTTCAATGATTGTTTTCTTTAAACAGCTATAAGCCTGCTTTTTCTTTATCTAGCATAACAACCAGCATCTTTTCCCTTGCCAACAGTTACCATTAGTTTACCTCTTTATAAAGGAATTTGCCAGTTCCCACTCTTAATTTCTTTTTCAAGATGTTGTATGACCCTCTTGTGTCTGCCAGTGTATCATGTTTTATCTTTCATAGCTATTCTCACTCATTGTAGTAGATTTTCTGTGTTCATAGAATCATAGAGTATTCTGATTTGGAAGGGACTTACAAGGATCATTGAGTTCTACTCCTGGGTCCACAGAGGACCACCCAGAAATCAAACACTATCTCTGAGAGCTTTGTCCAAATGCTCAGTGCCATGACAAGTGTCTCAGTGCGATGACAAGTTCCCTGGGGAGCGTGTCCCAGTGCCTGACCACCTTCTGGGAGCAGAACCTTTCCCTAACACCCAGCCTGACCCTCCCCTGTCCCAGCTTCTTGCTGTTCCCTTGGGTCCTGTTGCTGTCCCCAGAGAGCAGAGCTCAGCGCCTGCCCCTCCGCTCCCCTCAAGAGGGAGCTGCAGGCCACCATGAGACCTCCCCTCAGCTCTGCTCTGGGATGAAAAAAACGAGACCTCAGCAGTTCCTCACACACCTTCCCCTCTAAACCCTTCACCATCTACATAGCCCTCCTTTGGATGTTCTCTAATAGTTTTATGTCCTTCTTATATTGTGGCATCCAAAACTGCACACTCAAGGTGAGGCTGCACCAGCACAAAGTAGAGCAAGACACTTTCCTTGACAAGCTAGCACTGCTGTGCCTGATGCACCCCAGGATATGACTGGCCCTTTTGGCTGCCAGAATCAGGTTTCAGGTGCACCTGAGCACCTCCAGTTTACTAATTTCTTTGCCCCAAGGCATATGTTAATGTTTTGAGATACTTCCACTTCATGTTCCTCAAGCTACTTCAGGCAGATAATTCCAAAGGCCTTAACCTGGTCCATGAAAGGTACAGGCATCAAAGACTGCAAATTATTTGAATTTGCTTCTCCACGATTATATGGAGGGGCACTACCTTCCAACTTCAAAGGTGGTCTAAAAGAGTCAGGAAAATCCATTCATGTTAGGCCATTTGTAAGTATGCATTATATTTTCCTGTCAGCCAGGTGCCACTGGAATTGTGCCATTCTCATGTCCCACTTTATGCCTTGTGCTATTCCTTTTGCTTTTTGCCATACTCATCCTGTTGCTGATGCAAGACTCAGGTTGGAAACTGACACAATAATGAATCAAAAATTTTGATTGCTTTGGTTGTTGTTTACTGTTTTTGGAGTGAAGAACTTGATCTTTGATCTCCAGAGATCTCTGGGAGATGTCCAGAAGTTAAATAGGAAAAAGACCGAAGTAGAAACCTTGGTATGCCTTCTTACAAATTACATTCTTCTTTTCTGTGCCTGAACTGTTAACTTCATTGCCAGGTTTTATAGAAATTTAAAAGGGGATGTTTTATTCATCCCTTTAGAGAGATTTCACCGTTGAGAAGTTTTATTTTCATTCCTTCTGCAGGTTTCTTCTTCGGTTATTTTTCCAGGATCTCATCCAGTGAATGCTGAATAATGATAGCATTGCTAAGTCATTACCATTGCTAAGTTATTGCAGCTTTGCAACCATGTTATTTAATGCAGCCCATATTGTCCTGTCACTTTTTAAACTGAAGATCCCACTGAAGTTACTGTGAACTTTTACCTCTGATTCAATGTCAGGATATGGCTCCTTGTACATAGTCCTCCCTGCGTAGTTACCAATTGTAAGCAGCCCTCCTCCCTTTCCTTGAAGATAAACCTTCTTATCTGGTTCCTTTTTCTTGACAATAATACTGTAGAGAGAAGAAAAAGAATAAAAGTAGGTCTTGAGCAAAAATGTTGGCTGTTAATTATCATTATTGTGTGGTTATATTGTTGTATAATTCCCTAACCTTGGACTCTTATTGTACAGACATGTGAGGCTCAGTATTTCCTCTTTCATAAAACAGACATTACAGGCTTTCATTTCATTCCCATACAAAAAAATGTCACTAAAAATGAAATATTAACAAAACAAAGCTTCACCTCTTCCTGGATTCCTAGAATTCTCTGCAAAGTAAAATATTCCTAATAGTTGAACAGAAAGGATTCTCAGCAAATTTTTAAACTACCTTGAGGAAGTACAAAAGGCTTACAGAGTTCATATTCACCTATTGCTCTATGTGTTTGTGCAAGTATATGCTACATAACAGCACTGTAATTAACTCACTGGGATTTATTTGACACAATGTTGTCATGCATATTCCAGTTCCATAAACTTTTGGAAAAAAATGGAAACAGCATACATAAATTTTGTAAAAGATTCTAAACCTTTTCTTGTTTGTATTATGTGCTGAAGGGAAAGAAGAAATATCTAGTGGTGAAAAAAAATGTCTGACATATTCAGAGGCTGAGTAGAGAAATGATAGGAAAAGAAGAACCCTTGAGCTGTCTGCTTTAATTTACAACTGAAGTCAGCCTTCATTCTAATAAATTGAAGATATCCATTGAAGAGATATGAGCTAGCAACTTCTATATGCTCACTTTCACCAGTCTATCTTGGGAATTAGAAATCATAAATTAACTTTTTTTTTTTTCCTGGAAATATGGACATGTTTTAAAAAAGCAATTCTCACAAGGGTTCAGTTTACCCTTATTGGTGCAGTTAATCTGCATTATTGATTCTAAATAAGGAATTTGGCCAAGCATATAACTCAGGTTGAAGTATTTCAATTTGAAGTATATTGAAGTAATAACCAAGTCCACATAATTTAAATGGTTAAGAATGTAATATTTTAGTATTTCAAACTGTTAAGTAAACTAAACATAAATTCTTGATTTTTTGATACCCTGTAAGAATATGCAATATTGCATTCATTTAAAAAAAATTATAGGAAGTAGATCTGCTCAGTGCTCTTTGCTGATTACATTGAAACTCATTTCGTATTTCTTGTTGCTATAATGGAAATTGGATAGCTTCCTTGAAGTCATTTTGAAAAAAAAAATTGTTCCAAGGTGACTCATAAATTAAGGGGGAGCAGTGTTCTAAGCACAAAGCTGTTATGTGAAGGCTTTATGATTATATTGTACATTAATCAGATATAAAATTTATACCCCCATGCCTCAGAAACAGTCTATAATTCTGTGTCTACAGAGTCAGTCTTGCACTGAGTTCAGAAGGAAGGCTCAGATATATTCAAAATACCCCAAACTCCTGCACCTGGTTAGGTGTAGGAGAGGGGAAGACAGAAGTGACTCTGAAGAGTTTTGAAAAGCTCAGCCCAGGTACACAGAGGAAACTACAGAGAGCTGATTCTTACAATACAGAAAGCATAAGTCTACCTGCTATATTTAGTGCCTTTTCTCTCCCCTCCCTTCCTTTCCCCTCCACATCTAGGGCCTATGTTTGAATTTGAGTTGTAAAGTTGTCATTCACTTAACATAAATTGTTTGTTTTCTTATGGCATCCTAACTTAACCTGATAAATAGATTTTCACACAAAACTGTAGCTAAATACATTTATAATTGCTTAAGTAATGCTGCTATTCACCTCTCTGATTCTAAATGATTCAGCATCTGTATAAAGGAATAGGATTAATAATTACAGTGTGCATTTTCTTCCTCACACCTGAATACAACAGTTCCCTTGAAGATGTAATTACAACTAACCTGCTTTTGTTAGTAGAAATAAATGCTTTGTCTTGACACCTGGCTCTTAGGCTTAGTCTCACTTGTACAGAGTAATACAGGATTAAAATAATATTGAATGTTATATTTGTTTAATGTTTGCATTTTCAGGGTTTGCCAGGGCTGGAGGGTCCCCAGGGTCCACCTGGCAAAGAAGGTCAAAGGGTGAGTAAACTTTGTGAACAACTGGTGTGTGTGCTCACTGACCTTGATGTGTGACTTCTTTCTAAGCACTAATAAAAAATTGAAAGGTAGCAGCTGAGTATGAAGCATGCTGACAACAAAATGAGCTTTGACATTTGAAGTTTCTCTTCAGTTGAAGGAGATTTAACAATTTAAACCATCTAAAATGTTTTAATGACTGTCTGCACAGATGTAGATATTGTCTTTTGTGCAATATGTTTCTGTTTTAATTTTAAATGAAAGAATACTAAAATTGCTCAGGAGATTTAGTTTTCTTGCAGAAATAGACCATACCTTACTACATCTAGGATATATGAATGTAAGATCATTATCTACAATGTTATTAGAATCCAGAGCTAATGACCCAAGTTTTTTTGTAGATGCCATTATGCAAGTGTCAGAGCCTAGCATATGTATATAAAGAAGTGAGATACAATAAGAAAAAAACAACAACAGTGGAGATTATGCCCAAGGCATGAAATAAACATTTGGTTATTGAAAATTTTATTATAATGAAGTAATTGGCTGATTTCCATGTGTATATTATGTTTTCACTTTCTCTGACCTCCTGTCTTTGGTACTTAAGTGGAGCAGAGAATGAATATTTATGAATATGATATCTCAAGAAATAACTTGAAAGTTTATAACCTATTTTTCTCCTTGGGAGGATATTCAACATTTCTATATTTTTATGAATGAAATGGCACCCAGTTCATGGTTTTAAAACTGGATCTCTCAATAATCCTTGGGTACTTTAGGTATCATAATGTTGAATATCTCAGTTAAGTTATCTAAAGTGGAAGGATTTAATATTATTGACCTTAGTCACACAATCAATTATTAAAGGCCAGTTTAATAGTTCTAGTAGTGACTACTTCCCTGGTGTAACATAGGATCAGTTCTTGAACAAAAGCTTTGAGGCCTACACGTCATTACTCAATGTCTTTTATTGCTGTTTTCTTTACGTTACAAAACTATTACTGAATTTCATTCAAGTTAAACATGAAAATTTGAAAACTGAGTTTATTTAAATTTCAAAGTAAGGCTAGAGAATCCTTTCAGAAAAGAAAAAAAATAAAAGACAGTGTAGTAAGGGAGAATCAGAAGTCAAGTGGTAAATATAAACATGGGATTATGGACTTGTTATTAAGGATTTTATAATTACTATGACTCTTACTGTTATGCAATTATATACCCAGGATACTGAAAAGCTCCAGATACTCAGTTATAACACACTTTTGTGTGTTTTTATGTGAAGTATTCAGTCTGCAGACTTTCACAGTTTCTTAGTTCTCCTTTAGGGATAATTATAAATATGACTATTTTAGAAGCTTTGCTCTTTCAATTTCTTAATTTGTAAGGCAAAGATTCAGAATTAATGCATCATGTTATCTATAATTTTTGAGAAGTTCATTTGGAGATGCCCCTTTTATTTTGCAGTGAAAATTAGGGGATTGATAAATTTATCATGGCCATTTCCTATCCACACATAAAAACTGAACTGCTGTCTCACTCCAATATATTTAAAAACAGGAGTGCTGATTGTTTTATAATCTCAGCCATGCACACAGTTGCCCTGGGCCAGACAATGGGAACAGCAGACTTCATACTCACAGCATCTGTCTTTATCTTTCTGCCAGTGAGATGTTCACAATACTCATTCTGCTGGCCAACCCCACCCAAGCTTTAATAACATAGCTCGCAGTCTTAATTCAACCCCCATGTGCATTTGCATTTCCAATACATTTAATTACACAATAACATACTGTTTGTAACAAGATCTCTGCTCTGTTTAATGACAAACAGGACAGCACACATCTAATGGCTATTAAATATTCCTTTTTATTTAATTATAGATGTCATGTTCCTTTGTTCTACTTCCAGCAGATCTTCCAAATCTTTCACGTTATATGAAGTTATTGGTTTTGTCATGGGCTGTCTTTGAAGCATTCTTCCAGCAGATCTTCCAAATCTTTCACGTTATATGAAGTTATTGGTTTTGTCATGGGCTGTCTTTGAAGCATAGAACATATAGAGCATAAAACTAACTGATGATTTTTCTTCAACATATTGCTCAGATGTAAAGGTGCTATTGTGCCCAGTTTTCAGACTTGAACTGTAATATATAAGGGGAAAAAAAAAGTACCCCAAACTTCTGAAAAAATCTGTTTAATTTTGGGTGCCAAACATTGAAAATCTGACAATTTTACTCTTTCCATTTACACTGTATGCGTCATATTTCAAAATTTTAATTCCCACTGCAGCAGCATTTTTTAGTGTTCAGCTCTTTGGAAAATTAGTCTGATGTTAATAGCAAATTGAGAATTTTTAAGTGTGTAAGTTAGAGACCTCTGAACATGCTGAAAACAAGATCTAAGGAGCAGAGGAAAATTAACATTGTTAATGATGTCAAAAAATCAAAAAAAAAATGTGTAAAAGACTCATGACAGCTAGTGCTTTAGATAAGTGACAATAAAAAATGTGTTAGACGAGGAAGAATAAAAGCCATGCCAGTGGGTTTCTCTCCTGTTTGAACCGGCCAGAGCCATGCATTTTATTTTGAGAGTGTTTTTAAGTGGGATTTTGTTTTTTCATCCAAGATCACAGAGCTTATTATTAGAACTACTAACAAATATGAGTCATGGGATGCTCCCCAGAGTGGACACCAGTCGCCTTATTTTGACAACAGAAGGGACCTAGGGCAAATGTACCCATATGCCATATTAAAAGGAGTAAGTCTGGGTAGTAGCATTTCTTTTGTCTCACGGTAATAATCTGTATTGAATAATAATGTAAAATCTATAATCAGTAATATTTACTATTACATAGTGTGTTTTTTTTAAGTAATTATTTTAGAAATTATATCTTTAAATTACACATGCATATTTATGAATAGCTATAATAAATATAAATTGTAGGGTTTAGTTCAAAGTTGTGCCAACCTTTAAATGCTTATTGACATATATTGACATATGTGTGGAATTTGCTTAAAAGCACAAATTTACATCACTGAATCAGATGAGGGCTGTAGGTTATTTATTTCAAGAGCAAGAGGAAATCAATACATTATTTCAAATAAGGCAGTAAACACTTGTCCAATTAATGCATTGTAGGCACAGTTACATTGTATTGAGTCAATATTTGGTTATTAAAATAATATATATTTCATTTTCTCTGGCCCGGTCATCTGTTGTATTTCTGTTACATGATCTCATTGGGATATGATCTTTCTCCCAAGTCAATGAGCGGTTCTTAGCAGGTTCTTAGGCTTGTAAATGACGGTATGCAAATAACTCAGCAATGGAACTTGATGATAGAAGAGTATAAAACAAACACATCAGTAGTTTAGTATATTAGTTATGTTCATGAGAATAAATTCATCAGTTCCCACTTACTGGGACCTTTTTAATCTCATCTCCTTTTTTACCTTCTCTTTGTGCCTCTCATTTACCTTTTCATTACTTTTCCCTTTGGTCACTGAAGCCAGTAGAATCATGGTCCTTCATGTTTCACTTTCTTTCCAAGATTTCTCAAATTTCCTTTCCCTCTCCCAATTAACAGCTCATATATATGGATCTTGCTTCTTACTTCAACTGTGAGCTGAATTATGTGATAGAGTATGTATATGTTTAAAGTATATTTAATGCTCTTCCATCCAGGAAATAAAAAATAAAAATCATGGAACACCATAATAACATGGTAGTGAGCATAATAGAAAGAAACAATGCCAAATTAAATGAGAGGTGCAGAATGCATTTCCACCTGCATTTCCTCCTTTATTTCCACTGATGGCAGAAACATTTATCCCAATTTATTTATCCCAATTTACTTTTTTTTTTTTTTTTTTCCCAAGGGAAAGTTGCTGAAGCAAGGTCTCATACTTTCATATAAAGCATTTTCATTGGTACATTGTAAAAGTTCCTGGCAAGTAATCTTTTCCAGAATAAATCATTCTTATCTTTATCATATTGGCCATCTTCACTAGAACTGCTATCATTAATTTTCTGGAAAGAAAAAATAGTGAATTAATGCTATCTAAACATCAATACAAAAGAAAAAATATTACACTTTAAGATAGATGTTTTCAGATACAAGCAAAAAGTTATCAGCTTAAAGTGTGGGTTTCTTTGTCACTAGCAATTCAAACATTGGTATTTATTTCTAGATAGTGTTGCTCTAGAAACCAAACTGCAAAGTAAAAAGGGAAGATGTTAAGCATTACTAATTTTGTAGATGTTAGAATATTAATCTTTGCAATAAAATGTAGTGCATAGCTGTATTTATACTTTAATAAGTATATATTAATATGTTTATTTATATTTATTAATATATTTATATTAAATATGTAATTTAAGCCTAGCTAATACACTTACCTGAGAAAGTACCTGGTTTGACCATAGACTAGACAGCAAACCAAAGAACAAAAAGGTTAAGTTCCTGCTTCTTTGAGAGAAATATTGAAATATTTCATTTTTAATGTCTTATTCTGAAAACTCAAGCTCATTCTCATTCACTGAGTTCCCCAAATGTATATTTTACATCCCTCTTTAACACTCAGGGTTCTCTCCTTTCAAATTTGATCAGTTGCAAAAGTTTTTGTTTTTGTTTTTGTTTTTCTCAAAATAAGTAAAATATTGCTACAACTGTCTGTTGTGTACTTTCTGGAGTTTTCATGCTTTCTAGAATTTACTGTCAAAAATACTTGCACATTTTTCTTGCATGTATTAAGTTGTATTTACTTACTAATTCTCATCTTAGTAATTACTTTAAGTTACCTCCAAGTTCTTAGTACTGTAAATACAAGTTTCTCTTTAAAAGCAGTATTCCATAATTTCCATTATGTGTGATTATGAATCAGAATAACAGTTGAATAATATAGAAGATCCTGTCCTGTTCTGAATTCAGAAGACTATTTCATTTTAATGTTTGCTTTAAATTTGCTTTTTCTAAATTGAGAGGCATTCATTTCAAACTTCTGATAT